GAGTAGGTGGTCGTTTATATATAATATGAGAGGTCCTATGGGGGACACAGGTCGTTTACCCATTAAATTATATTCCCTATGTTCCTAAAAGATTGATTTTCTAGAGATTTCACATATTTTAAGAAATAATCATTGTTTAATTATTTATTTTTATTAAACGTTTTTAATAAACAATGAATCAATAGTATTCTAAAACAGTTAATCATTACGTCTTGAAATCTACGATTTATTAATATTAATTAATTAAAAATAAGGTAAAAATTTAGAAAATCAATCTTTGTGAAACAAACCCAAAATATTGTACATCAAACTTTTAGGAACAGAAGGATTACATTTTTACGTAGTGAAAAAAAGAGTTGAGAAGTAAGTTGTAGACACTAGACACTAGACAGAAGACAGTTGACAGATGGAAAGTGAAATACTCCATCTGTTTCATATTATAGGATATTTTAGACATTTTATTTTGTTTCACAATATAGGATGTTTAGGAAAAACAATTCAAGTTTCTATGCAAAAAATTAAATTTGTATAATGACTATTTAGATTCTGCAGTAAAACATATCATTGGTCAAATTATCTTTAACTATTTATTAAATTATATTTTAATGTAAAATATTTAAAAACTAAAAGCATTAATTAGTTTCTTAGACTTTGTGTTTTAAGAAAAACATCCTATATTTTGAAACAGATAGAGTATTATAAAAACTAAACCACTTAACGCTTTTTCGCTAATGAAGGAAACGTGGTGGGCCCCCAGCCATATCACTCCAAATCACGCACTGTATCCAATAACGTCATATAGGTAATGGTAAAATTTGTACACGTGTCTGAGAACATAGGCTATTTTGGCAATAATCTGTCGGTCCAACCCTTTACCCAAAGAGGTCGGGTTGACTTTCAAAGGCCATTACCATATTTTTAGATGAGAGAGTAGAAAATTTATAATAATTTTTAAAATTAGTGTCTATATATACTAGTATTTGATAATACTGCAATATCCATAGTAAAAATTCATCCCATTCCCACCTATATGGAACAGTCAAAAGTCTTTCAACTTGCTTAACAGATATGTAAGTAAAAAAAATGATAATCAAACTCCAATAGAATTGCATGTTACCGAATGAAGTAACATCATTGGATATAGCAAACAATTTCTTGGTCTCCATGAAACTTTTGTATTTTACTCCTACTTGCTCTCCCACCTTCGTTTTTTTTTTTTTCCTGACTAGTATGTTAAACCATTTGATAATTACTTACAAGTATCTTTAACACAATCGAGACTACCTAAATAATGTAAAGTTAAACATTAATCCGAATGTTTGTAGCGACAAAACACTGACGCACACACACAATTGATTTGAAATTTTACTTATTTAAGAGTAAGTGGGGACATTGGGACATGAATTAAGATTAGGGACCACCTTAAACAGTGATTAATATGTGGTTCATACAATTAAGACGTTGCATAAACTCTTGTAAATTGTCACTTAACCCAGAATCTAGGGAGTTCTTAAGTTGTCTTTGTGATTTTCAAACAGTACACGTGTTAAGCATCTAAATTCATTTATTTTACTCTTATGTATTTCTCTTAGGTGGCTGGAAGTATATATAAAATGAAATTTATCTTGTTGTTAATAGATGCTCAATCGTCAGGCAATTCGTCAGAATTGACATATATCATAATTAGTTAAGTACCAACAAGCAACTAAGAATAAATTAAGATCCTTCGAATTTAATAGATACCAAGCTGTTAAATCGACTGTGTAAAAGAAAAGAAAAAAAAACTAACCGAACCAGTTTATAGTATTACTGTAAAACATACTATATAAATTAGTAATATCAGAAACTGTGGTATTTTATTAATTTATAGAACTATTAGTTTATTAATAAATATATTAATTTTAAAAAATAATTTTTAGTCATTGTTATAAGAAAAAATTTTACTTTAAAATTTAAGAAGAATACGAATTTGGACAATCTAAATTATATAATAACATTATTGTGATATTATCATTTTGCAATCTCTGTTTGGACAAGTAGATTTAGGAAACAACAATAATAAACTGCATTCGATACTACAACATTTGTTTTGGTGATGCAATTTTTAAAAAATTATATGAATTTACTTGTGAAGATGACATTTATCATTTGAGGTAATGATTAGTGATCTCAATTGACGTAAGAAAATAGATATTAGTTGTCTCTTATTGCATTTTGCCCAAAAAAAATTAAAAAAGTTTTTCTCTTATTACACCATCCAAATGAAAATGATATATGTTCAGAGTGTAGAAGAAATTGAAATCATTGACTACAAAGGTAGATCCTATACTATTATTTGGGGAGTACACTTTATAAGATACCTTTAACTAACCTTTCATTTTGTAAGAATTTACTTAAGAATGCCATTACAAAAATCTTCTTTTAGAACAAATTTCATTCAATTTATTAAGGATAAACAAGTAAAATACTAATTTATGTCATTTAATTAATTTAATTAAATTATAAAACGAAAATCTGTTATTATATATTTTTTTAAATGACCAATCAAAATGAACATATAAGATTTGATATCTAACTTACCATATTAATTTGTTATTAATCATTAAACTTCACCTCTCATCTTTATATGATTATATTAATATGAAACAAATAAATCATCATATCATCTACATAATAAAAAAAAAAGTAAATTTTTTTTTGCATATGCCAAGATTTGAATTTTTAAAAACGCATATAAATTGTTCAATCTATAAAAGAAACAATTAAACGGGTCAAAAATTCAGACTTGAGTAAAATATTTATTTACACAAAAATAAAGTCAACAAAAATTCCGACTGATCAACGGGTCAGAATTTGAATATTTATATTCGATTTCATACATTTATTTTTTTGAAATGTATAATTTTATATACTACAATAAAAAATTTAAATATTTTAATTTGCAACATTTAAAATAAGTTTTACTTGATATTTTTAGAGAATATCATCAATACTTAATAGTTCAAAAAGTTAAAAATTATAAATACTCTAATTTGATTATTTTTAAAAATATTTATAATAGGTAGCGGGTTAAATATAATATATTATATGATGAAATGAGTTTTGATCCTTATAACTATTTGAATAGTTATATTTAATTTCATATAATTTGTTTTTTGAAATTCATAATTTTATAAACTACAAAAAAAATTTAAAGATTTTAATTTGGAATATTTAAAAATAGTGTAGAACATTTAAATATGGTTTGACACCTCTAAATATTTGAAAATTTGATTCCGTAAGCAATTTTAGAATTAACGAATAATAGATTGTGCACACAATATTTTAAAATGAAATATTGAGATTCTAAAATAAAAATATAGACTCCACGCACGGGTTGATTTTGGTATTATTATATACTAAATATATGTTTATAACATATTCGATTATGCGAATACTTGGTAAATTCCGTAATTATAAATCTCAAACAAATTCTGTAATTAGATTAGCACAAACAAATCTCTATTTCAACAACGAAACAATTATGAATTGAAAAAGAATTTTCTAAATTAATTCAAAATAATACCTAATTAGTTTAATTAATTTAAAATAATCTATGTTTTATATGCGATTCATTTATGATATTTTAATTTTTGATCTAACTGAAATATATGCAATCCTATTTTGTGGTTGTTAACATAAATTAACTCATTGTTCAAAAATTATTACTTTTTTAAAAATAAAATTATTTTCCGTTTTCATATCTTAAAAAAAAAATTATCCATAACTGAGTATTATATAAAAAATTCTATATTTATTCTAATATTGTATATAGGGACTGACAAAAAAAATAATATTTTTTCACTTACTATTATAATATATTAAAACTTAGTTCTAATATATATATTATATAAATTTTGTAATAAATAAAATTCAACATGTACTAAAGTACGGGTGATGATCTAGTTATGAATTAAAAGACAATGATATAGTACATTGGAGATCAACAAGATTGATAAAAGTAATTATAGTGTCTAAAAATATTTACAAATCTAAGCATTTTGAAAACATAATACCATAAAATGTACAATGCGATAAAAATAAGGAAATTCCAAATGAGAGAAGAAAACAACAATTAAACCATATAATTATCTTATTTATATTTCTGAAAAAATTATAGAATTATTAATTTATGATCTTTTTGATAATTTGTATATGAGTTTTCTATATTATTATCTTTTTGAATGGTGTTAATTATTACATTGGCCTACATCGACACTGAATAAATTTATGAATTTATAATATTTATCAATTTATCGAATATTTTTTATAGAGGTTTTACAATATTCACTTAGAGCATTTATTACTAGGGAAGTCTAATCTGGTTTGCAATGTGGTTTAGATGTAGATTATACATATTTAGTATTTGTTGGTTTGTATTGAATGTAGGGAGACTCACAAAAATACCCCTTTTTCAATATCCCTTTTCAAAAATGCCCCCTATGGATGTCCATTTTTAAAAATACCCCTTTTATGTACAAAATGACTAAATTACCCTTCTTTAATAAAAGATATCATAAATATATAAGGAAATATAACAAAATTAGGTCCACAAAATACAAAATATTTTTTGGCGGGAAAAGTGATCCCCCAATTTTTCCCCGCCAAAACACTGTAAAAATTTGTAAAACCTTTAAAATACCTTGTAAAATTTTCCCGTAAAATTTTTTCCCGCCAAAAAATTTTCCCGCCAAAAAATTTTTTTTGCAGGAAAAGTGATTCCGCAATTTTTTTGCCGTTAAATTTTTGGCGGGAAAAATTTTCCCGCCAAAAATTTACAAGGTATTTTAAAGGTTTTTTACAAGGTATTTATAAGGTTTTACAATGTATTTTAAAAGGTTTTACAACGTATTTACAAGGTATTTATAAGATATTATAAGATTTTACAAGCTATTTTATAAGGTTTTTACAAGTTATAAGGTTTTACAAGTTTTTTATAAGGTTTTACAAGTTATAAATACCTTATAAAACCTTTAAAGTACCTTGTAAAACCTTTTAAAATATATTGTAAAACCTTACAAAACACTTGTAAATACCTTGTAAAAAACATTTAAAATACCTTGTAAATTTTTCCCGCCAAAAATTTTCCCGCCAAAAAAATTTCGCAAAAAAAATTGCGGAATCACTTTTCCCGTAAAAAAATTTTTTTGGCGGGAAAATTTTTTGGCGGGAAAAATTTTTACGGGAAAATTTTACAAGGTTTTTTAAAGGTTTTTACAAGTGTTTTGGCGGGAAAATTGCGGGATCACTTTTCCCGCCAAAAAATATTTTGTATTTTGTGGACCTAATTTTGTTTCAAATAAGGGTAAAATAGTCATTAAAAATTAAAAGAGGGCAAACTTAAAAATAGACTCTCAAAGGGGGCATTTTTGAAAAGGGGTATTGAAAAAGGGGCATTTTTAACAATTTCTCTTGAATGTATATGTCATGTATAGTGTCTAGATTCATTTGATCATTGTACATTGGTACAGTCGTACAGATATAAACCGGTCTAAGATTTTCTGTTTCTGGTTAAGGGTTCCGGTTTACCCAAGGTCGAGTCTGTATCATCATGTACATTTCTCATTATTAGTGAGAGTAAGTTAAAACCCTACAGTTTGGTTTTGAGTTGATTTTCTAATTACACTATTTCAGTTACACGCATATCAGCTAACTGGATTGGACACTGAATTTTCCAATGATGAATACGGAACCGGTAATGTATTGGCCATTTCCTATACTCGTCACTCCGGTCGTCAATTACATCAAAAAGAGTTTAGTTTATTATTAAAGAGCGCGGGAAAGAGAGAAAAGAACTTCGAGATCACAAATTCACTAGAAACGAAGAAATATGGCAGAAGAAGAAGAAGAAGATAATAATGGAAAATCACGTGAGGATTGTTGGTGTCGAGACGAGGCCTTTTTGTGTTTTCAGACGTTTCCGTCACTTACTAAGATTTCTATTTCCGGAAAATATTTACTATTTAGGGAAAGTCTCTCTCTTTCTTTTGCTTCCCTTCTACGTTTTTTCTTTTCTCTTCAATATTTTTTTTATTATATACAACATTTATCAGAATGAGTATGACCAATATTGAATCATAAACTAGTAGTAGTCTACTAGGCCTTTTCACATATTCCCCACTTACTTGGGCTAGGCCTGAGTTAGGCAAAACAAAAAAGTGAGGAAAAACAAATATCTATGCATAAAGCTTTGGCTCTCTATCTTTTTTTTTTTTTTGTCAAACACTTTGGCTTTCTATCTATGTATATATTCTGATGTGTCAATGATTGAAATTTGTGTGATATGATAGCCCTCTGTCCAAAAATGTTTCGACAAAACTATGGATTAGATTCCTTTCCCTACTCTTTAACAATTGCTAGTAGAAAAACTCAAAAAGGTCGATCTAAATCACTACCAACTGTTATATGAAGCAATGTCCCTGATTAATTGATTATATATAAGATAAACCAACAGTTACAAGATTACAACACACCATGGATAAACGACCTGTATTGGTGTTTTCTTATAGTTCGTCATGGTGTTGTGAAGCAATGTCACCTGGCATTACAATGGGGTTCGGTTGGTCAGTGATTCAAACAGATAATACATGAATCGAGGAAAGACGCAGGAGTTGAAGAAAGGATAGGGGTGAAGAAACTAAACCTGAAACAACATCCTTGAAGAAAAACTTTATCTCTCTTTCAGCTGATGATGTTGAATCCGAGCCGTGCACGCAGTTCTTTTGTGAGTTCTTACCACATAATGCTCTGATGCTGCAAGAACAAGACAAGGTCATATAGTAGATAGGATCAAAGAGCAACCTAATGATTCATAACAAGTCAGAGAACGATTTCAAATGATACAGCTTACGACTATATCCATCTTAGCCTCACATTTGAGTTTGCAAAGTCAAGAAATACAAGAGAATCAAGTAAACCATAAAAGAAAGTGTTTTGGGAAAATATCAAACCTGTGAGGGTGAGATATCTTAGCCCTTTGCGCATCTGTTGGCCCGATTAAACCACGCCAATCAGAAACCGCGTTTTGCTTCTCTAATACCATCACAAACACCGGACCACTAGTTTAAAAGATACAGTTCACACACATTAGCAAACGCAGACATAGCAGAGATTGCGCAAAGGTTATATGGTAAGCACTAAACAGAACTTACCAACCTTGTCATGTATGTAACAAGATCAGGAAAAAAGCTCCTTGATGAGTGCTCGTCGTAAAACGCAGAAGCTGTGTCCTTGTCCAGCTGAGTAAGCATCTCCTTGACGATGTTGAAACTAGCTTCAACGACAATTCTTTTAATTTCGTCAGTGTAGTTACCAGAGACTCCATCTGGCTTTATCATAGCCAATGTTCTCTCTTCACTACTTGCCCCATTACCTAAACACCTAACATTTTTAGCACATCAACATGGGTTACCGAAAAATTCAAACTAACCCTAATCGCTAAGCAACTACGAGATCATCTGGGAAGTAGTAATTTAGATTCAGATCCATTTCAATTGATAAGTACGATTATTCATACGAAGGAAACCAACAGAAACCCTAGGTTTTCTCGCTCACCTGACCGGCGACAAGGAGACAGAGACGAGAAGGAGGAGGAACATTGGTTGATATGTGAATCCTGACATTGACTTGATCGGAGACCAAAACTTCGGTGACTATCAGACGAATTAGGACGATGTAACTCCGAGATTATGAAAGCCGGAGGAAAATTGTGGTCGGAGAAGCTCTAATGTCGAGTTTGCTCCTCCAGCCGGGAAAAAAACTTAAAACGCGCGTTTAGTATTTTCACTTAAAACGCGCGTTTAGTATTTTCACTTAAAACGCGCGTTTAGTATTTTCACTTAAAACGCGCGTATAACGTCGACTTTGTTCGGTTGTTCCTCATCGATTCTTCCCGAATCTTATTCAATCAAGCCAACTACGTTTGGGCCTATCAATATTTTTTTTAATTTAGGCCCATTAACATTTTTCTAAAAATCAAACTACTTTTTATCATTCATATCATTATGAACAAACCATATACACAAGTGTAGATTTTGTTTTGTTTTTTTTGGTTCACATCAGAAGTGTAGTTAATAAAAGTTAAGAATCTAGATTTCAAAAACTCGATTGCCGCTGAAGGAACAAATCGAAATGGTTGTGATTATCACGACAATGATTCCAGTTACAAGAATCCATTCAATGTATTTCCAATAAACAAAGTATTTTTGATTTTATACATCGTTGGATATGTTTTCATCTAACAATTTCTTTGAAACCCTTGCAAACAACCTCTTTTATAGACTTGGCATAACTCTCTTCTTTTTGTCTGGTGGAAATGGAAGCTTTTCCGGTAAACGGGAAAAGTTCCTAAAGTTGGTTTCCAATTGTATTAACATTTTCAATCTCTATCACTATTATCCACAAACTATTCAAAACCCACTTCAATGATTCCAAGAAGAAATATTATGACCTAAGTGGAAGAATGGCTTCTTGTTCCAAAAAGTAATGTACTTTAATTCGTTTCTTCTTTTGCACCAAGGATTAGATCCTTTTGCACCAAGCAAGAATCTACCAACATATTCACCTCTAGATCTTGATTTCTAGTGTCTATCATTTCAGTTATCTAGATCAACTTCAACTTAGAAGAAATATTCACATTTGATTGTTCAACTTCAACTTAGAAGAAATATTCGCATTCAACTTCAATTTCAACTGCAAAATTATTAGAGTTATATGAAATATTTTTGAAAAAATCAAATTAAGTTTATAATCAATCTAATGATAATTTCTTTTGCTTATACAACTCTATCAATATACTATAATTGATATAAAATAAGCAAAATATAAGCAAAACATAAGCAAAACATAAGAAAAAGTGAAGAAAATAATTAAATAAAAACAAAAAAGTGACGCCAAGTATATCGATTGATACAATTACCAACTACAACAAAGAATATAACAATACAAATATAAAGCATTCAAACTCGTATAGTTGTTGTTGTTAAACAAAAACTATGATATATATTACTTGAGAGCTTTTTTCTTCCTTCCGTATATACATTAATCTTAGTTACTTTTGATGATTTACATTATCTTAGTTGTGTATGTATAAGTTTATAAAATCATTAGACTATATATATACGGCGGTTAGTTTTCTCACTATGGGTTGTGAAGTCTGTCATGGTTATGTCATTGGCGTCATGATTTTACATGCGTATCTATAGTGAGAAGGTATCAGGTTCTCTATTTTACATATATGTGGTTGAAACTCTCATGGGTCTTCCATTGATTAAATATAGAAGATATTTGCCTATCGACAAGTGAAGCTTTAAGAGACCTACTTAAGCTTTAATCCAAAAGATTTATCATCATGGCATATGAAGCAAATGATGATTGAGAAAGAGGAAGGCATAACACTTAAAATAAAAACCAAAGATGAAGCAAAAAGAGAGGCTGAAGTCAAAATGTGGAAAACCATCATCTTAGTAAGTCTCACATTTGTCTTTATCATGTTTTTGTGTTTGAAAACTCATGGTTCACAGAAAAATTCAGGTTCATTGATTTGGAAGATCTCAATCGATTTCTTCTAGAGGATGAAGTTTTGAAAACATTGAACATATTCCAAACCACATATGAGGATGATGTAAACGTCCAAATCAGCTTGGTATTTCTACAAAAAAAAAAAAGGATTGTAAAGCTTCATTATATAGTTCAACTTTAACTTAGGCACAACCTTCAATATAATCATGATATTATATTTTTCAGGTGCACTCTTTCAAAAGAAACTTGTCCCTTTTCTTGTCGCTTAGAGACACAACGTGAGATAATTGGGACCATCTTTAACATAGTGTTTGGGTGTCTAATAGTAACACTTACGATCCCACTACTGGAATTAAGCGGAGTAACATATTTGGCGTTTATAGTCACACACTCCATATTAACATTTTTGTTTATGTATATTTGGAAGGATCATTATTCCATAATGCAATTACTATATATCAGGCATCCTTTTGATGTCAACGACGAAATTGAAATCGAAGAAAATCAGGGTAAACAGTAGGGTCGACGCTGAACAAAGCTAAGTGAAACAATGGTTCTGGATCCTCAAAATTTTGTGAAAGCTATAACATAAATTTTTTGCCAGTAGACTCTTAAATTATTTAATTTTATAATAAAAGGCTCCCAATTTTTTAAATATATAGAAATAACCTTTCATTTGATTTTTTAAATTTTGGCCCTCGAAATTTCAATGCCGGCTGTAAACATAAACATATAGTTTTCTAACTTTGTTATTTATATACTTAACTTGAAATTGGTTTTGTGGTGTTGCCACTAGATAGTTGTGGAGGAATTAAACGTGATATCCACCGATTGGCAATGCCGGATAAGCTGGTGACTAACAAATTTTGAATACGTCTTTCTCTAGATCTAATTGGGCTCAATTATGATCTCTCATGGGCTTTTTGTTAACAAGTCGACTCTCTCTTTGCCAACTGATAGTTAGTAACTCCAATACTTTTCTTCTTTTTCTGGGCTTTCCGTTTAATTAAACGCTTATGGTTAGTTAAACTAATCTACTCCAACTGTTATACTGTCTTTTACCCCTGTTTCCATTTCTTTAATTTACTGTCTTCCAGAAAACTTCTTCAACTATACTGTAATAAAGAATACGTATTGAAAATTACTCCAATCAAAGACGAATGTTGATTATGTAGTAGAGTAACAAGTGTAATTAGATGAAGCTATACTAAACGTATAAACAAAACTAATTATGAATAGTACTAAAAAATGGACGGTGGAAGAGAGAGGACATGACCGTTAGAGTGGAAGGATTCATGAGCCGGAATTCACAAGAAAGTCTTATTCGTGTTGCATTCAACTTAAAGATCTATCCAAAATCTCCTAATTTGTTTTATTTTATTTTTATAGTATTAACCAATATATTGATATTGACCTGTATTATAATTTACTTGGCTTCGTTGACAAAAATGAAAAATCTTGACTTCTTGAAATTCTTGTTCTGATACCAAAATCACATGGATGTTGTAGCTGGACGGTGCAAATACTCGGTATACTAACATTTAAATGGATGGTAAAACAGTTTGGTATTATAATGCATAGCTTACGAATTATACTCTGGGATTTTATTAGCGTTTAAGCATATATAGTTTTTTTTTTTTTTTTTTTTGTCATCTTTAAGCATATATAGTTATATACGTAGATATAAACATTTCTTATACTAGGAAATTGGGCAAATAATTGATTTTGAGGATTATTTTTGTTCACATCGCCTTCAAAATCATTGCCAATATATAAGTTGAGATTTGAGAATGAAACCGATATTATGTTCTGAAAATATATCTTTTGAAATTTATAGAAACCAAGAATGGGTCTTCGATGGTTTTTTTTTGTATTCATATATTTCGGGCTGAAACTAGTCTAACTTCTAAAGCATAAATTTTGCAATTTTTTTTTTTTTTTTTATTGTATTGTTGCAATTTAAAATATTCATTTGACCAACAACCATGAATCCATTCTTTAAATCAAAGTAGAAGAATTGGAATTTTGATCCTCGAATTATATGAATCATCATTCAACCACCAATTTAGTCGATGATTTTCTGGTTTGCATTTTTACATTTCCTCATTTAGTAAGGTCTTGATTTTTTAAGCCGCAATCTTCAGGGACGGTGCAAGTTAGAAAGGAAGCTATATATGGTCATCATAAAAAATTCTCAACATAAAAGAACAACGCTTTTTATTCTCTGCCCATCAAAATAGACCTGAACCGTCCATAGATATGTTTTCTCATCGTTCCCACTATATCATTATGATTTATGCATGTTACACGTCGTTTCTCCTAAATTTACATTTTTCATTTTGGTATTTAAAAAGTAAACACATTTTTTGGTAATATGATAAGTGATAAGTGATAACACACTTGTTTCAGAAATCGTTATACCAACAAATAAATAGTATTTATAGCTAAAGAAACTGCAAGTGACATAATCAAAAATCAAATCTAAAAAATTGGATAATTTTAGGAAAAAGCATTCTCGTGTCTATTACATATTTTAAAACTCAAGGTAATAACATAATAAACAAAGAAATTCAAATATTTATGTACAGTTACCTGAAAACAAGTGTTACTTCTAAGAAATACTACCGTACGTGTTCCAGCGAATGTGTTATTTATGATGTTACATTCGATGGTCAGAATCTCTCGGTAATCAATTAGTAATAGCATTTTCATAAATAATAAAGGCTTTATTTGTATACCATAGTACTATTTTAAGCATCAAGTACATTTATGTCACATCTATTTCCAGTTAGTTTAATTTTATTATTTTCGTCTGTAAAACTATTCATAACTTACCAAAACCCATTTTATTTTATTTTTTTTCTCAAAACAACTACCAACCGATCTTCAAAGGTCTTTCTGTCGAATTATTTATTTACCTCTCGTGGCTTTTGATACTTAACAATTTTTTTCAAAAAGGCGATGGTCAACATTCTCTGGTGAACCCCAATTACGCAAAATCTTAATTCGGGCAAACTAGAGGGTAAAATGGTCATTTAAAAAGTCCAACTGGAGTTTCTCCTTTGCTTCCTGGCCCTTATACGACGCGTCGTGTCAGACTCGTAACTCCGTTTGACTCAATTACCCCACATTTTTCATTCCATCATTTCTAAACACACATTGCTTTTTCATTGTTTCATTGTTTTCTTTCTTTTTGGCTAGTTAACATAGCCAACTATGTTCATTATGCAAATGCAACTCACGAGACTTAATACAAAGATATGAATTAATATAACT